CCAACCTCAACCTCAATCCACACTCATTCATTCCTATTCATCCTTCATCTTCCCTCTTCAGCCCCCCTAAGCGTCCCTCCTCAACCAACACCACCCTGTATTGCTTGTATTTCCCTGTACTGTATTCACTTTAAGACCACAGAAAATAATATTGAAACACCCCCTGGAATTCCTGTCTCTTCCAACCTGTACTCTAACCGGCACACCATCTGGTCTACAGTTATATCCTTCAAACGAATCAGTCCTATCGCCTCCCCAAAAGTTACAATATGAAGACAACTCTGTCTAGAGTTTAGCCTGAATTTTGAAGGTCGCAAATAATGACGATTAGGCATTGGGACAACCAACCATGAAGTCTCGAGACGCTTGGCGTCTGGTAGTCCACGCTCAGCGGACTCACGGTGTTCACTGTTTAAAGCCCAGCGAAGCTGCGGGACTGAATGAGCAGGGAGTCGTGTCGTACCCAGTAAGCAGAAGATGATTCGGAACAAAAGTTGAGCACGTTGTAGTGCATATTTTGTTAATGACATGTACACACAATGAAATTTACATTCATATATTTGATCACTTATTCTTTGACATTTTAGGGGAAGCTGAGCTTCCCTTGCAGTCCGAGAGCAATCGCCACTGGAAAAGACTGGTGAGTAAATTTATTTCATGCTTAGGTTAACATTTGTTCTTTGTGACAGTATACTGACAGTTACAATACGAAGACAATTCTGTCTAGAGCTTAGCCTGAATTTTGAAGGGCGCTAATAATGACGATTCGATTAGCCCGAATGGGGGTGGGGGGGGGGATTATGTGCTCCAAGCACAGATATGACTTCTTTATGGTGGCATCGGGAAATATTAAAAATATATTGTGCTACAATTTAAGGGTTATTTACATGTATTTTTTTCTAAAATTGTCACCTGAAGTTTCTAAAACGAGATCGAAGCTCGCAAATTTTGAAAATAAACCGTTAAGTACGTCACAAGCAGGCTGGGCCTGAACCTCCTGCGTCACAGTTTCCATGTGCATATGAGTTTCGTGAAAATGTAGGTGATTGAACAGTCAGAGCCGAGGTGCTGCCAAAAAAGAACCCTTTCTGCACTGAAACACAATGAAATTAATTTTGATTCAGTTTGCTGCGAAACAAACTGGATACTTCATACTTGACCAGAAAATTAATTGAAAATGCATTGCCTCAATTCAAAAACAAAATCGTTCAAAAACGTTCAAATGAAAAGTTTTGTATTTGAAAGACTGAATATGAAAATAAACAGAATTTAATTTTCAGTGAGGATCAAATACAGTTTCAAAGAAAAAAAATCTCCTTTCAAATTGAAATTGTACAATTCAGATTCAGTTATTCAAAATGATTCAGCAAAAAGATCCAAATCCATCCATTATCTGAGCCACTTAACTTCAATCCCTGTATTTTAAATTCGGTATAAACTATTGAAAAGTTATTCACGTTTAGTTTTTGGTGGCAAATATTCCGCCCCACATCGTCACAACTCATTTAAGAAATTTCAAGGGTTATTTTTACTGACCATTCATTGTTCATGACATGTACAAATGTTTGTTTTCCTAACACACTGTCCATCCTTGTTTTCTTGCAGTTCTTTCAGCCGCTGTGAGACCTAACAGCCTAACATCTTGGGCCTCAGACCAGGAAATTGATGTCACAATCAAAAGATGGCGACATCTGGCTTCTGATCGGGATGGTGACAAGAGGGAGAGCATGAGAAAAAAAGAGGGCATGGAGAGCGCAACAATTTAATGGATAGAATAATGCCGTTCAAGAGAAAGCTGCATCCCAATTTGGACTTTGTGTTCACTGTTAAATAAAGAAAAAGGCATTTTTCCAGTGTATGTGCAGTTATTTGTGAGGTTCGCAAATTATGACAATAAACATATTTTTATAACAGTCGTTTTTGAGACTTTTTAAAAAAATGTGGGTCAAATATGGCTCATGAAAGATGTGGCTTAGTTAAGGTTGAATTAAGGCTGATATCAGGAACCTGCCCTGGCCCAGCGTAGGGACGGATTAGGGCCAGGTATGGTTCTACAATGTGGTTCAGGTCTGGTCCTAATGCGGCCCACATCATGGATGCCAGGACCGTCATTCATTGAGGTATGTGGGCCGAGTGCACGTGCCGTGTCTGCCCCAGAGCTGGGCCAGACCAATTTTGCTGACTGGGTACCAAGCCCCTCGCCCCTCCTCTTTCTCCTCCTGTCTCCCTCTCTGAGCACGGCAGCTGAGCCACTGCCAAACCTGGCTTCAGACACGTGAAAAAGAGAGTGACATAAATAGAGAGAGTGAGGGGGAGGGGGATGGAAAATGACAGAGCCGGCTCTCGAGGGAGGGGGCCGTTTCTCATTGGTTCACTTCAAAGAGCCGGCTCTTTGTACCGGCTGGTTCGCGACCGACACATCACTCGGAGGATGACATGCATGTGAAGGAAGATAGTCACTGAACTGCGTATGCCGCTCGTCGCAACTTGATCCACCCATAATCGCCAGTTTAATCCTGGTGATATTCAGGTAATTGGGAGCTATTTTACCATGAATCGTGTTAGGTGTTACATTTGGACGGGTGATTAATTATTTGAATAGTATTTGTAGAGCAAAATGTCGTGGTTTGGAATTTGAAATCTGTACAGCGTAAAAGCTGTACAGCGTAAGTGTTCGCAACGTTACAACATGTGAATTTTTTTTTTTTTTTGTTACTGTGAAATTATATGAACTGTCTTATCTGTTCTTTAGGGGGGGGATCATTTGTGTTTTTCCACGTGTTTTGAAGGCACCCAACCCGCCGGAAAATGTCGAGTAAGTGTGTCCTCTCTCAACACATTGGATTGTAATGATTAGTCGGTCTGCACTTATAAGTTTCGTGGAATGCTGTGGCTTGGAAATAATGTATTTTTATTTCTCTTTCCCAATCAAGCAAGCCACTGCCTTTATTTATGACTGTGTAATTTTATTTAATCTGGTGTATCATTTTCTTTGATCTCTTAGATCCCTTTTTTTCCATCTCTTAAATTTCAGTGAACGTCTCAGTCTTTCATTTTAACGCTGTACAATGTTGTATTGTTCAGTCAAGATTAAAGCCCACATAACAATTATTTTGTGTTCAGTCCAGTCTTTCCAAAGACCCGGCTACGTTTAATTGTCGTTTTGTCGAATGGAGATTTTTATCCGTTGAGTTAATGGTGTTGTCTGTTGCCCAGTGATGTCGGAGACCGAGACCCCAATGCGACTTCATCGATCCCTCCTGCCATACTGTGTTGCAGGTAATTGTGTTTCCTTTCGGTTTTACTGTATATAATTGCTCGTGTCAAATGAAAAATGACACAGTAACACCTGATTTGGCCGTTGGTCTAAACGAACTGTGAACACACGCCAGTAACACGCCAGTACCGGTGTGACTAGCGTCTGCTCGCAGTTCGACGCGGCCGCCCTTACTTTCCCTTGACCAGCCGTTTTTGCTTCCCGTGGCGG